ACACACCTATATATGGCTTTGTTTTACATATTAGAAAAATGTGGAAGTGTTTTTCAGCCAGCATACTGTCAGTAGCAAATGCTGTCATTATATTTATTCTCTGCTGTTGGGTTGCTCAGCAGTATGATGTGTTGTACGGCACAACAGCGAGGGAAGCTGCAAAGGTTAATTTCAGCTGTTGGCTGTGTACTGGATATGCAAACTTTGGCAAAAGCCTCACTGACCTGAAATCAGAAGTGTTGGGGCCCTGTGATATGCTGTTAAGATGGGGTTTAAAAATAGACAGTGCAGTTTATGTTTCAGCCACTTGCTCACATTTCTTCGTGCGATTATTGTTCCTACAGTCTGCTTGGATGGTTTTAAATTTGCAGGAAAGCTGCAGGTCATTATACTGAAGTAAAGGGTAGTTAGGCAGAAAGAAGGAGCACAGATTACAGCGAGGAACCACTCCCTATGACACCTAAAAGTGAGTGTCTGCAGCACTTCTGCAATTATTTTAGTCAAGCATTAAAGCAATGTATTCATTGAACAGTAAAATCAAGAAAACAAGAAGTCTCTAATGAAAGCTTATTTAAACACAGGTCAAGCATACCGACTGCAGTGTTTAATGTACCAATAACAATCCGACGAACAGGAAGTGTGACGTTTGCGAGTCGCCTACCTTTTTTTTTTTTTAAAGAGATGCTATAGCTCTATGATGAGTCATCACTCATTATCCAGCAAATTCACAGTGCCTTCTGCCCTGCTGCTTATACTTAGCTGCATCAATTGAAGGAATATGTCTGGATGCATCTGTCAGAAGAGGCAAGGTGATCAACTTCAATTTTAGATTTTTATTGCAGTATTATTTTAGCCATTCATCTTCAGAGAAATCAAGCTCAATGCTTTTGTTTGCTGAAGCCATCTCTAAAGTTTTCTGTATAACATAATAAAAAATGCTTAATAGAAACCTGCTCTATTTCTTCACTGAAAATCTAATTTCACATAATCTTATCTGTAAGACTGATAAACTGTGACAACATTTGATTGGGTGAAAACAAAGTGGCTGCATCATGTTTGTAGCCATCGTTGCATGTGAGCCCATCATGATAAACAGCGGTAGACGACAATGCGGCACGTTGGCAGAGTTTCTGCAGGCACAACATGCACTGCAGACTCAAAGGTCGCGTAATGAGCGGGCAATACCTGCAGTATTCATTCACCTGCAGAGAGAGCCACAAAACTGTGGGCCCTCAGATTACGAGACTAATAAAATCTTCAAGTTAGATTGTGTTGTATGGTGAAAAAAAAATATAATAATAAAGGGTCAGTCTTTAAAGTGGGATAAAAAAAAAATGTTTTATACATTTGGAATCACAGCATAAATCTTTCTGATTCATTTGGCCTTGCAAAGTTAATGTAAAGTTATACTTTTTGAGGCAACTGAGAAAGAACGAAAATTTTTGCAGAATAACCTTTTTTCAAATTGAAATTAAATATAGTAAGCTATGAAAAAGGGCTGCATTTAAAAATGATTTTTAAATGGTAAAACCCTGATGCAGATCAGTCTAATGGTTGTTTCTAAGCTTTTGAGCAGGACAAAATCCTTAAGCGCTAACATGATTTCTAGATTTGAAAATGAAACAATCCATGTCATTAATCTAAAGTCACATTGTATGGCTGCATTTATTTATTGTCTATGTTGGTCTTCATAACATTATCATATTTATAATATAAATAAACAGAATTTAATCCTGATGGCCTTTTAAAAATCCAGACAAAAGTTCCTGAGTGAACCGAGAGGGAACGAGATTCAAACTTTTTAGACCTCAAAAGCATTCGTTTTTCATCACAATGTGTCTAAAAAAGTAGAGAGGCATAGATACCAGATTTCTTCAAAATGAATACAAGCAAATTTAGCACTTTTTTATATTGAGAATTGATACGATTTAGGCAAGGGCAATTAATTGCATATCCAATGTAATTGAAACTTAACAAAACACAACTTTCAAATCGCAGAGATACCTAACTTTTTTCACATTAAATTTAAAAAGGTTAAATAACTCTCTTTTTCACTCTAGCCCTATAGGAAGTGGTAACACTCCTGGTAACAATCACATAATTTACAATTAAATTATTGTAATGTCAACTTAGACTTAAAAAATAAACTTTTCTGTCATTTTGTACACACAAGTGTAAACAAAAAATAAATTCCGTTAAGTACAGCTCTCTAGACTATTTAAATTTGTGTGCAGCCTTGATATGGTAAGCAGCAGTGATAAAAACATTGTAATGAAAAAAAGTTGTGTAAACATTTGACTTTATAGTTACAGTTCTAACATTCAGCGTTTGTTTTTTTTTTTTTAATAACCCATTTTACAATGTGGGCAGTGGGGAGGAAACTGTTTTGGAATCTGCTGGACCTGCTTTGGATGCTTCGAAGTCTCTTTCCAGAGGGCTGCAGGGAGATCAGAACCAACTAGTATGGAAACTGATTAATCGTTTAGTTTAGAGACTCAAAAAAATACAATGCACTGAAAGTACAACCAACCCCATCCAGAAATTAATCTAAAGCTGTACAGAAATATATATGTTTTACATTTAAGGTAAAAAAAATATATATATCTTTGTCTGTAAATATATGCTAATCTAAATTGGTATAGCTTTAGCTTCATCTAATCTCTGTAAAATAAAAAAGGCTCCAATTTTTCCATATCTCATGCCATTTGCTATCAGATTATACATCAAAAAAAGAAAACATAAAAATATTAAAATAATCATAATTGTTATATTTGCTAAAAAGAAAAAAAGACAACCATTTTTGCAAAACTGTTCAGTCCTTTACTATGGATGTCCCTGATCTAATATCAATATCAGCAATCAGGTCGATATCATTCAACATCAAGCCTGTATCTTAGATTACAGATATTAGCAAGGCTTTAGAAACAGTCTTCCTCTATTTAAAGTGTATATAACCCCTGGGTAGTTCGTAATATTACTTATTAATATTGCTTTTTCTAAGATTTCACACTACAAAATGTGTAATGATTAAACTATGTATGATTCATCCCAATATCGTATCGGGTCAATATCAGTCAATAGTCAAAGCTGCAGTATCAGTATAGTATTGGAAATAAAAAGCTGCATTGGAACACCCCTGCCTTAAAAGAACTTTATAAAACTTTGTCATATTTTTATAATATTCTCAGAAAAACTAACTATTTTCCTCATCAGGAAAGGGCCTCTAGAAATAGTTTTGATGCAAAGATCTTCATCAAACATAATATCAGTATCTAAGGATGCATTGGCAGTGGTGTATCCCTACTTTTATTATATACAACAGACAGTGTCAACTGCTTGAAATATTTTCTCTCACCTTCAGGAACCTGCCATTTAGAAAACCCAAATAATATTATAAATGCTTGATTGAAACTTATACTCTTAACAGCAAAACTAACCTTGACTGATCTTAAAGTTCTACTGGAAATGATCAGTTCATCAGCCAGTTAATGTTAACTTGTTGAACTTAAATTTTTTTTCTGATATCTATATCAAAAACATAAACTAATGTTAAAAATAACTTTAGGGTTGCTTTAATAAAACCGATGTTTTGATTTCCTTAATGTCTTTCCTACAAATTCAGATTTTGCTTGATTATCTTTTATTATGTATCAAAGCTTTGGTCCCTAAACTTTACCTCATTTTTATTAAACTAAACAAAAACACAACACAATTTTTATCAAACCATATAATCATCTAAAGAAACGCCACTGATTTAATTGTACTTTTTGACTTAAAATTGCAGAAACACCTAGTTTTTGAACGAATTAAACACAATTAAAAAGTGGTAAAATGAATTGCTTTACTTCTAATTAAAACTATTATCGCTCGGGTAAACATTTATGAGCATAGAACAATTTTTACTTGACTTTCATTGTGTAGAAACCATGACATGTTGGTGTCAAACTGACAACATGATATAATGAATCAAATGAGCAACAGTAAGTATAACAATTTCCAGCATCTGTAAAATAGACATATAACCAGTTCTCAATTTGCACAATGAGTGTTAATTGGATAAACATGGCGTCAAGGATGGAGCCTTGATTGCTACATGTCTGGTTCTAATAAAATCTGGATTCAAATGCTATGCTGCATTTGGACAAAAAGATGATAACATTTTAAGTCAGTTTTAGAAATGCACTGCAAATAGGTTTCCCCCTAAATATATGGGAAATCTAAAGTCTATCATCCCAAGTATTGCATCTCCAACCTAAATCTTGCATCTGCCTCTGGCGCAGCATCCTGGAGGCCAACCTCTCAGTGACCCAGTGAAATCAGCCAGAGGGGAACACCTCCATAATACATACTCATTAAAATAAACCTTTAACATTGTTAAAAAAGTCAATAACATCAAATGATATTCAGAACCACATCAGCTTACAGTCTAGGCCAAAGGTGCAGGAGTGATGCATTGCCTTGGTGCTGTTGCTGCAGTGCAATTCTCACAAGCAGTCATGGGCTCATATAGGGAAAAGCATTGTGCTGATTTATGAGCCTCAGAGCTTCCCAGCTGCAAAAATCTATAGAAATTCAGATGAGACAAGCATTGAAAGATCACCCCTAATCCTGTAAACAAAAGAACATGTTTGGCTGCTTGCAGAGCCCAGCCTGCACACTGCAGCAGAGATGCCCACCTGCCACAGAGCCCAGCCGGCAGCCAGATCACAGCCAAAATGGAAAACTGAGTGGGCTGCAGGAGGAAGCAGGAACCAATCAAAGCATTTAATGTATAAAAAAAGCTGAACTTATAAAAATCACAGTTGGATCCCAACGAGAGGACATGCTGTCACAAAGATGAACACACAAATATGATTAGTCAATGATCAGCTGATCAATTATTCATCTGCTTCCCTGTTGATTTTGCAGGATGGACTCCAAACATGATGAGAAAGCAGAAACACGATCCCACAAAAAATAAACCAACCAAAACAAACGATCTGTCCAGATTTGATACTTACAGACGCTCCCAAACAGGAGGGTCAGCGATGCAAGCTGCAGAGAAAGATCCCCATTGTCAGTCTACCCAAACCTCAACAACAGATGCCTCAGACAGGAAAGGGCAGGGTCTGTCTGGAAGAATACAGGGACAGTAACGAAGAGGGCGAGGGAAAGGAGCCGAGGAGGGGCGTGGATTATATGTAGCAATGGTGAAATCACCAGTAGGAGGAGCTGAAGAACCCAATGGATGAAGAGGGGGGCAGGGAATATGGAAATCAGCTGACATCTCAGGATCAGAAGCCTGTCTGGTGCAAAGGGGCTCGGCTTGTTTTTTTAGCCTCCACCCCTAAACCTTAAAAGGACAAAGGATGCAATTCATTGCATGGAGGATTTCATTTGCTGGTGAAAATGCATAGGCTTTAATATCAATATAAATGTGACCTGAAAACATTTTTTGTACCAACTGGTTGTATTCATCCACATAACAGCATCTCTGCTTAGAGGAATACAATAGAATTAAGCTATACTGCAAAAGAAAGAGAACAAATATTTCAGGAATAATTTACAGCACAGGTATAAAAAAAATTATGGTAAAATTTAAAAAGTAAAAGAAAATCAGAAGCTGATTAATGGAACAAAGAGAAAAAAATGTGAAAATATGGAATATAGAAACAAACACTTACAGAGCAGGTTAAAAAACTGTTCTGATTGTTATGTAGTTAAAATTTTGATATATATATTTTTTAATTTCTATAAGGCAAATACTGAGTAGAGTGGAAGCTATGCAAGTAATTCTTGACCAAATCAAAAACCTGTAAAACCAGCATGTTTGTAAACAGTTATTGGGTTTGTTGAAAGCAGCAAAGATGACAAACAGCTGTGGGCAATGGCATAACTATCTATAAGCAGAGACTGCAGTTGCTTAGGGGCCACAGACCTCTTAGGGGCCCCCTCACTGACACCTGGTAGGCCCCCTACGCAATTATGGACTAGGACGTCTCTTTGCATACGTAATGTTGCGAAAAAATTCCTCTTAAAACCCATCTGATTTTGAGATGACTGACCGGACCTTATTTATACCGAAAGACATGGCAGATTACAACACGATGGTGAGCCGTTTAAACACGACACCAATAGCAAAGCAGACAATGGTACTTTTAATTACTATGTTAATAACTGTGTATACTTCATTAGACAGTTGGTAATAAATAAACACGATCCTAAAAGAACAATGTATTTGTGTATTTTATTTTTTAAACTATTACTTCAAATTATGGGTAATCCAGAGTGTACGGGGGAATGGGGTGTTGTACTTTATATGGGGCCCACCCAGATAATGTGGCCAATTGTTGGGTCGTTACGCCATTGGCTGCTGGGAGGAAGGATCTGTGGAAGCACAGCTTTTAGTGTCTAGGATGCAAATATCTTTACGCTCTCCAATCCAGGCCTCATCGGTCACTCGGTGTATATCAGATTGATCACCATGGCCAGATATAGAAGAATCATGGCCCGTGGGCCAACAATAGTGAAAACAGTGGGGGTGGGGGGGTTATGTTCATCCACAAAACTCTGTTGCCACCAAAGTGGCCTTTTCTGTCAGACAATAATTTGCTAATATTATTTATGAATTGAACATAAAACAAGACAAAAAAGTATTATTTCACCAATTTAGATTCATATACATGTATATGTATTCTCTCTTTGCTATTTCATATATCAGATGTACTCATTGAACATTAAAAACTGCTTCTACAGAGTTGTTTCTCTCCACATCGAGAGGAGTCAGCTAAGGTGGCTTGAGCATCTGTTCCAGATGTATCCTGGACTTCTCCTTCGGGAGGTATTCCAGGCCTGTCCCACACGATGAGGCCCTGGGGACGGCCTAGGACAGCTGGAGGGACTATGTCTCTCAGCTGGAATATGGAAAGCCTCAGAGGAGCTGGAGGAGGCTTTTTGAGAGGGAGAAGTCAAGGCTTCTCCAATGAGACAGTTATCCCCCTGAGTTTGATAAAGTTAAAGACAACAGTGAACAATAATGACAACATGAACTTACATAAATAAAAATTAATTTAATACATGGAAAGTACAGTAGATTTATTTGCATTATGTAGGTTCTTGTCCTAATAAAGTTTTTTCTCCAAAAATACTTTAATCTTTTTCCAAATAGTTGTGTATTTATTCTCTGTCAATACAAAACAAAAAACACCCTAAGTTGGTATAAACTAATTATGCAAGCCGTGCAAATGGTAAGTTAACATTATTACTGAAATGAACCAAATTTAAAAGGCAGTGTTATACCTTTCCATGGAGAAAGATGGGCTTAAGAATCCTCAGGGTAAGGCAGAGGTATGGCTTTTTTTTTTTCCTTTTTAAGGTTGTATTCTATTTGGAAATTCGAAATGCCATAACACCTATGCAGGGTTTGAGTTCTTATTAATTTGAACATAAACAATGAAGCAGAATTATTAATGCAAATATTAAAATGAATCACACTGGATGAGTCTGCTTTCACTAGATACTGGATAGGTAAAGGAAAATACTTAAGGATTTAAAACATCTGGTTTAAATCAGCACTATTACTATCAGCAATGGTGCACACCTTTGAAAAGCAAGCTATATCTAAGAAGACCGTGAAAATACAGTGTCTCTTTATATAAAGACATGAATGCAGGAAGATGAGGCTGTATTACGATGTGCAGTTTTGTGTTCATGGTGAATGTGCTGATACATTCAGTGCGGAATTGAGGTTAAGGGCAAACAGAGACTTCCCTGGCTTTACTCTGCAACATGGTGTTGCCATGGAGACTACATCCCGCTTAGTCAAGATGGTTCCTGCAGTCTGGCAGCTACAGTGAACAGAGCACCAGCAGAAATGAGATTGTCCCAAGATATCAAAAATATCGACTGCAGTCGAGTATAAGGACAGAATAACATTCTGGACCAATTGTTTGTTCATTTTTAATAAATCAAAAGTAAATGAAAAACAATTATCATATATTATACTTATTTTTTTTAAGTATACTAACAATTTGAATTAGGGATGTACAAATCTGTATAGAATTTAACTGAAAATATACATAAACTAGACACAAGACATAAAAGCTGTTTCTCAGGCATGCAAATCCTTATTTACTTAATTTATTTCTACATACGGATAGTTGCATTAAAACAAAGACACAGCACACATTAAGTCAAAGATCTTTGTATCATTTCAAGTTTATACATCTCAGTCATTTAAATAATCTATTGCAAGTAAACACTAACAGCAATCAGCTTGATGATCCCTATTATTAGCCCATCTTCATTCAATCATAATTGCTCATCAGTGGAACTTTTAAATAAAATAGGTAACCATTTGCACGATTATGGACAAATGATGAATGATTCAAAAACACACATTAGGAATTCCTTTGTACATCACACTGAGGGTTTTTACCTTTTCTCCAAACTAAAGGTGGACAATGAAGGTGTACGTATTAAGCTTTGCTGTCTAATCATAGGTTCTATAATAGTTTTCTATAATGTGTAACAACTTGCAGCTGAAGTTTGAATCTGAATTATCTTTCTTTAACAAATACTGCTCCTCATTCAGCTCTGCTCCGATGCAGACAGCCTTTGTAACACTGACCCATTTCAGAGAAAAACAATAGCTGAATTCAGCTTGGATCGGAGAGCAGCAGCAAGCATCTGCTACTTTGCTGAGCTTCAATGGCAACAAGGCCCAGAATCGGAGCTTACAATTAAATTCATCATTGCACAGAAACGTCTATCGCACAACCAAATAACATTTTTTACAATTTTTATTTCTGAATATCAGAATATCTTCTAACCTCAACACTCTCAACACTTCCACAACACTTTCTGCTCTGAATGTCAAACCAGACCAAGTGCACACAATGTAAGCGTTTTCTAATTCCTCTAAAATACGACTGCATGTAAATATGTTCAATAAAATCATTATCTAAAGATTTAATTGAAATTGAATGTAAATATTGTGCAGTGTGTGCCCATGGTTCTCTCAATAACCAACTTACAAATTGCCTGCAAAATGCCAACTCTTCCCCATCAACTAACTTACTGTTCACTCTCGCCATCTAGTGGTAAAACCTTCAAAATACCTTCTTTAAAAATAGAATTCCAACAATTTTTCACCTTCTCTCATACCTGAAACCATCCATAAAATTCAAATATAAAAATGCTACACTCTTGTCTTAATAACTAACGAATAACTATATTCAGTGTAATTAAGTAAAATATAAATTATGTTAGATTTCATTTATTAGAAATTATTTAATCAGTTATGAATTCTTATGCCTACACACTGGAATCTGTACCCCTAGGAGCAGTTTCTTTGCTGATCGGTGACCTGCTAATATCTCCCAAGCGTCTAAAAAAACTGAAAAAACCAGAGGTCTCAGTCTTAAACCAAACACTCCTGGGGAGAATGTTTTCAACATTAGCCTGCGGCTGTGTGGCTTTGCACTCCACTGACTTCTGTTCATTTTTCTCCAAAACCCCTCCTTTTAAAACCTGGCCTGAACAGTCGTTGGGTTTAATTTTCTTTTCAGCAGATGGAAAATTCTGATCTAAACTTTGAGATTTTTTTATCTTGTAAGAATTGTCAGTGAAATCAAACGCTGGTTTTGTAGCTATGTGTTCAACGTCCTGTCCTGGCTGAGGTTCTTTGGTTTTTGTCACAGAACCTGGACTTCCAGTGGTAGACTGGGTCCGCAGATTTTCTTTCTCTCCTTGAGTTTTAGAAACTTTAGTAGGCACTGTGTGTCGGCGGCCGAGGGTGCGTTTCGTGGAGGTCTGAGGGCCGAGCAAAAACCGAATCAAATCCTCATTGGTTGGGTCTCCAGGATACCTTTGCGTTTCCTCGTCAAAGGTGAGTTGACGAGCCAAGGTTTTCTTAGCAGGAGGGGATTTCTGGTTTTCCAATGGGTGATCCACAGAGGAAGCACTTCCTCGACTGTTCTGGTACCTCAATACCTTTTTAGAGGCTTCACGCAATTTCTGGGCCTCTTCCTCATTATTGTCCAGTAAATCCTCCTCCTCATCATCATTAGTGCTGGACGAGAAAGACCTAACTGTGGGTAAAGGGCTGGTAGTTACTTTGGATTGGCTTGTTAAGTCCTGGTAATCCTTTATTTCTGGTGTTTTAGTATTTTCTTCATAGGTAACCATGTTCCTTGCGTTATTTTCTTCAACATGATACTGCGTCTGCTTTTTTGAGTTCTCTGTGAGTTCTGTTGCAGAATTCCACTCTTTTCTGAACATATCTTTGGCTCTAAAAGTGTGCCTGTGGTTTATAGTTCGAATGTTTGTCTGAGAGCTGATCTCTGAAAGGCTCCCATTAACTGGGCTCCCTCTTGTGGGGCTCCCATTGGTTGATGAAGGCCTTCCTGATTTCCTCCTAGAGATGCGGTTGGTTAGGACGTTTTGCAGAATGCATTCTAAGGCAATACCCTCCATTTCCTTGTCTCTACTTGAACAGGTAGCCGTAGACCGGCGCTTGGCTGTGTTCTGCAATCTATCGATGTGTTTCCGTTTCATCTCTGCCATCTCTCTGGCCTTGTTTTCCTGCAAAAAAAACCAAAACACTCAATGTCAATGAATCAAAGCAAGAGTTTTCATTATTTAACTAAGATTTAAAAACATCAAAGCATTTACCTGCATAGCCCGGATAAACTTTAGGCAGAAGGAATGAAAGATGGAACAACATTCCTCCAGTTTAAAACTTGCAGAGTCTTCACAGAAGTACTCGGCCACAGAGTCGCTTACAGCCTGTAGTTCTTCAAAATCACTTTCTATTTCTTCCAAACAAACATCAGCTTTCTAAATTGAGACCAAATAATGAATTAGAAAACAGCCTCATCATTTTATTCAGAATTACTCGTGTTCAAAATGTCAGACTGCCAACACTTACCTTTAGAAAATCTTCCATCTGCTCCTTTAGTTCCTCCTGTTTCAAGGTGTCTGCTTTGGCGACCTGTACTTTTCTTTTTTGTCTTTCAATCTCAGCTTCAATGTCAGCTTTTGTTAACCTATAATAATGTTCAACAGCTTTAGCAACATTTAGATTGAATTAAAATAAAAAAAAAGGGCAAGCAGATGGTTTTCTAAAGATTTACCTTGATGCAGCTTCAATGTGTTTGAGTTGTTCTGGAAATTTAAGAAGCGCCACATCTACCTTTTGTGCTTGCTGTGGTAAACACATAAGCCAGTTTAAGAATCAGATGTCTTCCAACATTTAGTCACAAATCATCACATTCATTTCAGCTGGTCAGTGGTTGCAAAAATCAGTAGTGAAACAGCAAATTTCTCAACTGAAACTTGGATAAACTGAGTACCAGAAGAGTTTAGCAGCTATCAACATGCTTTAGTTTTTTTTTCTCTTTTTGGAGTTGTTTTTGCTGTTGTTATTTTTTCTCATCTCTAAACACATATATGCGTTGAACCCTAAAGCTACATTGTTTAATTTTCTGTGGTCTAATGGTCGGACTGCAGTGACATGATCCGCTCCCCACAGCACTTCTCCCACTCCAACCATACAGGCGCCATTATGGAACAGAATGTCCAAAGTCTGCACACCTATCTTATCATGTGATGACCAGGTTTGTTTCCATAGATAATTTAATAAATAGTATTTTATTAGCCTCAGACAATGAATATACCCGTTATTTGAGAAACATTGTTGTCATGTTTTAGTAAGCTGCTTAGCATAGTGATATACGCAGACTAATAATGTAGTTTAATTGTATAGCACGATGTTGTTGATTGGAAGCATATATATTCCCCATTTACAGAGTCCAACTCTTGACTGTGGCACGGGGGTTTTTAGAGGAGATAGAGGGCAAGGAGGCCGCAGTGGGCGTGCAGCCAGGGCCAGGCTAGGGAGAGGTGCTGAGTGGAGCCGGGGAGGCAAGATTTGAAGCCCTCCAAAGGAGAGGAAGGAGTAACTGAAGACATGTAGACCTACATGATCTCTGTAATACAAATACCGGTAACCCCAATTCATCATTTTCTATTTACAGCTCTGAGCGTTACTACAAGCATAAATGCTAGAGAGTAACACCATCCTTCGGCATGTTGCTGCCATTTATTGTTTACTACCATCTCAGTTCACCCTTCTAGGTCACAATTGAGCCTAACGGCGATCTCCTCAGTAACTAGTTTCATCTCTAAATGTCTGCCTCTATACATGCCAGACCTCCTATGTAATTATTATAAAGACCAATTTCTAAGGCAACTCAAACATAAAGATGAGACTTTCAGTATGTAGATGACAATAAATGAAATATTTATATAAAAGAGATCTGTAATTCCCTGTAATGCAGTTCAGGCTGGTGGTGGTGTGTAATGGATTGGGGGAGATTTTCTTAGTAGTCTTTGAGTCCCTGGGAACCAACATAGCTTTAACCCCACAGTCTAACAGAGTATTACTGCTGACCATGCCCATCGCTTTAGTGCTAAAATGTACCCATCTTCTGACAGCTACTTGTGTCTGGTTAATGGACTATGTGAGGATGCTCAAATAAACATCAATCACTTTTCTTCAATTGTGAGTTCCACTTTTGCAAGTAGGGGTAACAGTGACAATTTTGAGACTAATTACTGATGAACGGCAGATAGACAAAGCCCTGAGCAGGTCTACAGGCAATTTAGACTAACCAAATACAGTCAATCAAAATGAGAACTACTTGCCATCACAACATAATGCATAAGATTCATTCCAGGTTTGTTTGCTTTGGTATCCGCCAGCTTCAGGAGAGATGACATACGGAAGCCAATAGCACTGCCAGCATAGCCACCCTGTGAGCAAACACATATCTTTAGATATAAGATGAAGAAAACAACAGAAATGTATCCAAACACTCAAATGCAAAGTAACTGCTTACAGCATTCATGTAATTTCCTGTTTTCAGCACCAAGCGAATGACAGAATGTAGATTATCACACTCCAACAGCTCTAAAGGAAGAAATGTAGTGTCAGCAATGAAAACGAATGCCTTCCAGTTCTACTTTAAAAGTCTTAGATATCTTAAAACGCATCAAAACAACCATACCCTTTCCAGCTTCTGTCAGAACGCCAATGAATTCTCTTATTTCATTCATGAGGGTAAAGAATTCCTCCTTCAGCACCAAGCAGCTCAGACGCTCTTCATAACTAAAAGATCAAATGTATATAAATTTAGATAGAAAACTTTGTATCAATTTGACTGTATGATCTGGTTGAACTGTAAAGTGCCTTGAGATTACATGTGTTGTGAATTTGGCGCTATAAACTGAATTGAATTGCATATCAGTGTTAGGTCAGCCTTGAAAATGTTTTTAGATACCCTTAAATGTTTCTTATTTTGTCAGATTACAGCAAGAAACTTCTAACAATTTTACAAACATTTTGATAGACCAACACAACACATTGATGTATAATTATGAAATAAGAAGGAAAATGGTGCATGAATTAACTTTTTTAACAAATAAAAACATAATAAGTGTGGGGTACTCCTTTCTATAAGACCATTTTAGTCTGATACCTATATGTAGATAAAGATGTACTCTAATGGCCTCATAGGTTTGGAGAGAAACATTTTTCAATAAACAAAATCATACAGACTAATGACCTGATCTTCAAAGATCCCAAATACTTTTCACTACATGCAATATGTGGGTGTGTTGCAGCTGATCTACAAAAAATGCTGCACAAATGTTAGGACATGTAAACTGATTTTAGTTCTACCCATTAAAATGAGTAGATTGCATACTACAGGCAGCTGAGATTGGTCATAAAAGAAGACAAGGTTCTAAGCCATGGACATGGAGGCAATAATGAAGTATTAGAAAAAAAAATGATGATACTGAATAATATTTAAAGTGCACTTAATATCCTATTAACCTAAGCTCATGGTTATGCCCCCCAGTTGTTTGGAAGCATCATTAGGTTATAAAACAATAAGTTATCAACATTTCCCAGAACACTTTTCCATTCATCACCTGAGAAAAGAAGGAAACAGTAAAGCGTAATTGCAAACCCAAAAAGACATGTCTGTTTTTTTTTAAATAACAGATATTGGATGGATAGAATGACCCGAGAAGCAGCCAAGAGGCCAATGGCAACCTGACAAAATTAATTGACGGGGAAACTATTAGTTGGCTTGTGCATGCTCTTGCACACGTTTAATAGGCATCCCCTCTCGGGAGTGGGTACAAGGTACATTGGACTGTTTATAAAATAAAATAAAATAATAGAGATGGACAGTACATCAGTATTATCATTATCAGCTAATATTTGTCATTGGAAACATATTGATTAAGCATCCAATAAATACAACTAGGTCAATATTAAAAAACAATGTTTATTTCCATCCGGTTTGCATTTTTAGAGGAGAGCATTGGTCATGTGGTGCTTGTTTGGTCATGTGAAATTGGCAAACATGTAGCAAAGGATTGTGGGAGTTTATCTGAAGCAGATAAGCAATCTCAGCAGTGTGTTTCATGGTGTTAAAAAGGTGAATATAGGACACACTATTAGTAAAATTAACTTATTGGGTATAAAAACCATGTCATTATTAGATTTCTATATGGATCCAAATTTTCATATCGATGAATTCCCAAAGAATAGCATTTATAGAGGTATTTGCTAACCTGGGCATCTTTATCAGCATGAGCATAAAAAGATCAGCCTCAGGAAGGGCTGAGGGGTCGCCTTTAAAACCAACCAGCTGCTTCATCTGAATTAAATAAAAACAAAAATGCAAATTTTCAAACCAACTGATGTTTCTCTTTCTATATGCATTTATTGATAATGTTCAACATTTAAAAAATATATAATTTAGTAAATGCATTAAATACCTCCCCTTCATCTGGCAGCAACTTAGACATCTCTCTCAGTTTTCCTGTTCCAAAACTGAGCCCATTTCCCCACTGAATGTCCTGGATCAGATCTTTAACAGGGCTGTGGACAGAGGTGGAGACATGGGAAGGATCCAAATTACTAGTCATCACAATTACAATGGAGTTAATGCTTGTGTAGGCCTGTGATTTATGAGCTGTAAATCCATACTAAGGCCATTCTATTATATACTTGGAAAATCTGAGTTGCTGACATCTACAAGCCTCTGCCTGCTTGTAATAATTTGCAAAAACAAAAATTTCAATCACAATTGAGTCAGCTGCTGTCTTTGACTGAAAAAAGATTGATCATTCAAGGAAAAAAGAAAAGTTTTTTTGGAGAAGTAAATAGCAATTCTAGTACATTTACATTCCAGTGACTGTTCTAATTCCTCTGCTGTAGTATGTCCTACCTGTTCATTCATACATGTTTTACAGGATTAACAATGATATACTGTTTTCCTGTTTGGTCTGCTGCGTTTGCCAAACAGCATCAGACAATGCATTTACAAGAATTTTCAGTTACTGATCTGCAACTGAATACCGCAGGGAGGTCACAACATAGATCAGACCTGTCTGGGCCTGTCGTCTTGCAAAGGCTTGTGAGTGTCATGCAGCCCTGCGCGTACAGATCTATCTGCCTCATCATATGCTGTTTTCCCCCTCAATATGAAGTAACTATTGTGCAAAAACGCTTACACCCTAAAATCATAACCTCTGACTCACCGCTTGAACTGCTTGAGGAATATTCCAATGTTCATGCTCCTCTTGGAGCTGAGGATGGTAACCTGGAAGTGAAAAAATACAAAGACACAGCTATCAGTGTAATTTGTCCAGATCATTTCACTATTGGCTTGAGAAGCATCTTTTATTATCACATACATCACAGTGTTCCCATAAAAACACAGCTAAATCCAAAGGTTAAGATTTTCTTTTGAGCTGTTTGTATCGAACAGTCTGAGTGGAGATAGCCTTGTGTTCTGAAACGTCAACATATTTACTTAAGGGTCAAAAAAGAAACATAAGGCCAAGTAAAAGTTTATGAACTTGCTTTAACTCATTTTATATGACAAAATTGCATCAAGTTGCATCTACAACCGATCTATAATAAAGGACGTTTAAGTTAAAAGCTGACAACTGTAGTTTCTACTGTTCTCTGAGGAAACAATTATGCCTTCCTTCTGCAAACATGATCAATGGAGACTCCACCCTTGCACTGAGTGATCCCACAGCCATACACAATGTTCCTATGATACATAACCGTTTCCAAAACAGTAGTTACAATCGCCTTCAGTGTGTAGAAACTGCTAAATGTCTTCAGATGTGTGTTTTAGTTTCCCTTAATTTCAAGTAGCTAAGAAAGTGGTAATATGTCCATTTCTACTAAACTGTTTGCAGGCTTTAAGAATTTGTCAGGATGTTTTCTATTTATCTCCCATTCAGGCTAAGGAGGGGGAAGAAAACAAAAATCAATTGAGGTCAAAAGAACACACTTTCATATCTTCATGTCACAATGCAAAACCACCCAACATTACAATCTATTTCTGTAACCCCCTTAAGCTCATGTTTCTTACAGACAACCTGTTAAGGCGAGATTGACCAAACTCACCATCTCTCCTCCAGTGCCAGACGGTAGCTGCCCCCTAATACTCAAACGGTTCAGACCCTTTGGATGTTGCTGGCCGTGGTTATGGCTGAACAACTCCTCCATGTGATCGGTGTCCAGCTCAAACTGCCCATCCGTCTTGTCTGCTGTCCAGATGTTGTGCTTTCCTATCACACTATGTTTGGGAAGTGTTTCCCAGTTAAAATTGCGCATTCTGGACCTCCGGCGGTCTCCCCAGCCCAGGAGGCCACCTCCATGCTGGGGAAGTCCAGGAGCTGGAGGTGGTGGAGGAGGTGGGGGTGGTGGGGGTGGTGGAGCAGGAGGATTTACTGGTTGCATCTTTGAGGGTCTCAGTAGGTTTATGGAGCAATAATGATCCTGGTTGAAAAGATACACAGTCAGCTTTATACAAACTGGATTTTCTTTAAAAACTTGTTCTAAAAACAATCTAAGTTAGTGAAACATTCTAAAACTAGATTTTGAAAGGATATATGAATAAACAAAAATATATAAAAATATTACATAAATTCAGTAATAAGTCAAATAATCTTTTGAATCGTTTAGAAGAGTTCATGAAGGCATACAATCAGGCATTTACAGCCTAAACACATTATTATCAACATGTTTTGCTTTTTCTTTTTTTTTTAGCACTAATTAGGTCTAATTATCACGTTACCTTTCTTCATATTTACCATATTTATATATATGCATTTATATTTATTTTATCCAAAAAATTACATTTGAACTTCCATAATGCCATACTCCTGTTATCTTAAACTGTCATCATCTCTAAAGTTTTTAGTGGGTAGTTTAAACAGTGAAACAGACATCGTACCTGTGAATGCCTGTGTGAAGCAGCTCCATTTTCATTCTTTAGGATCGTCCTGTTCCAACCAAAGGCGCACAGCAGCGGGAACCAGGACGCACTGAGGAGAGAGTGTCGAAATCCGCTGCGGGTTTGACGACACGCCCAGGTGAGTTATTTATTTCCATGATATCCCACGCCTTCCAAACACAGGAGAGTCCCGGAAGTTTGGCATTTGGACTAAAGTTGTTATTTCTGGCATGCGTTGGTTAGAGTTTGGGGCCCCGCACCAACTGCCGCAGCTCATGTGAGCAGACCGCTGGATTCTCAGACTGCCTGATAGGTGTCCTATCTGAATTCCTATTGATTTGGTGAATTTCTGAACGATTTCCCTCAGCTGAGGCACACTAAAATAGTCACAGGCTGTAAACATGCCGCTCATTTATTCCTCTGACCTGTTATTCTTTTATAGTCCTTTTTAATTTGATCATTTACCTGATCCAAATGCTGTCCAAGGGTTAAAATACTGTGGCCTGACTCACATACAGATGACATGAGTTTTCATAACAAATTATCTGTGATTAAACAGATTTTTTGAAAAGCTCAGACACCTCTGTTTCAGCTTTAAAGTGAAGAAATGCCCTAGAGGGTACCCATCTGACAACATGAAGAAGGCTCAATGGTTTTAGAAAAGCAACATAAAGACAAAATACTTTATTAGCAGATGAGAAAGAAAAAAAAACTTACTGAAGCTTGTGAGAGGACCCCAGTGAGAGCTATTATCCAAAACTGAATAGTTTGTTTGCACTTTGGAACAGTGATGAACCTGCAGTTACTTCAAAAATTGATTGATAGCTTCCCTAGGCAATGGAGAACATGACACCATCTACACAACAGCAGACCTTACTGGAATTAGTGAAATGCAGTGTTTTTATTTGAACAATTATGAGGTGGTGTAAATTGTCCTCCATAGGAGCTGGAGAAAATAATTAGGAGAAAATTCTCTGGACTGACAATATGCTGATAATTTTGGGTGTGTATTCCATTATATCTGGCTCTAAAAAGCAGCATCAGAATGTTATTAAAGCATGGTGGTGGTATGCTAGTGGCCTGGGGCTGTTTTACTGTTTAAGCCCCTTAACGTCTTGTAACCAGAGTATGTCTGACCAGCAAATGGGTTAAGTGGCAGGAGAATGCAAATACACCATAAAGGCTACTAAAAACACAAATAAAAAAAGATTCTGGAAGTCAAATTCAGCCCAGTTGAGATCATATGGAATCATCCTAAACAAGCTCTTTTTGTTTCATGTTGTCTCCAGTGTGATCAAAGATGGAAAGCAGTGGAGGACTTGTATATGTATATTCAAGGGCGTAGGTTTGATTTGAACTTTGGTAGGGACACTATTGGTCGGGTGTCATTGGTGCTATGCAATATGCATGTCCTTTTTTAAGCTCGATGTAAGCATCCGTACTGATAAGAGGAATTCATTGTTAAAAGAGAGAAGCATCCTTTTGCTACATTAATAAAAAATGTATAAGCACTACACTCATTAGATGCTGTTTATCAATGTTTGAAGTATCACCGGCTCTGATGAATGTGGAATTAGGACTTTTGTCCACTTTGAAAATCTTTTCATTTGAACGACTATAAGAGAGAAGGTAAATACAGGATTTTCCTTTGAAGATATAGAATTGTGCAGAGTTAAACCCCACTCTTATATTTTACCTACTGTAGCCTACTATGCTCTCTCTGTATCAAGCAAAATAATACATTCATTAATATATTAAATTCACTATAAAAGTTGAACATCTGGGCTGTAGATACTCTGCATAGCCCATTTCATGTATTTTATCTGGGGCTAAAAAAAATTAATCATATTAATTGATTATTTCAATAATTGTTAACTAATTTAGTATGTAATTTATCATTAACTGGAGTATGGAGACTTTAAAACATACAGTAATATAAATGTAAAATGTGCCTTTCCCCGACAGAGCAACCCACTTAGATCAGTAATTATACCAAAATTATCCCAAAATTGTAAAAATACAATATATACATATATATATGATTTAAAAAAAAAATTGTCTGTCAATATTCTCCATCCAGAATTCCTGAAGAGGAAATATTTTAGTTTCACCTGGTTTATTTAGACATCACCTGAAGCACTGAAGGGCAGCTGCTTCACCTACAAGCTGCCCCTGCATCATTATTACTGGATATCTGTGTTTCCTATAATCATATAATGTATAAGTGCATTTTTAATAGTAAAGGATTTAATGAAACACAACCTTTTATCATCGTCCTATATTGCTTACTGTCTGACTGTTTAAATAGCTCCTTTCCTTTTTTAGTGGCATCGTCTACAAACACAACACTAAGAATGAGCTGTAGAATGAGTGTATTCAAATATAAAATCACTTTTAACAATTATAAAAGACAATATAACACTATCTTATCTGGAATTTAATAATATCCAAAATAAACAGCCAGATTCAAGCATTTTTACCAGACATTAATGTTTGTACTAATTTACTTATAGAATGTGTGGAAATCTATGTAAGATAAAATCAATATTAATATTCTTCCTCTGTTTGTTCTTGTCTTTATCCTATTTCTAGAAGTATAAATAGTCAATTAAATTAGTATTATTATGTGGAACCCTAATTATGCTTTTTAAACCAAAAATAGCAGATGTATAGACACCGTTTCTTGTTGTTATACTCTATGGGCCGGATTTATCAAGATCCAATTTTGCGTGCAGTAATTTGCGCTCGCAAAGTGGAATTTTGCGCGAGGGGCTGAACCATGGTTTGCGGGTGATTTAACAAGAGCGATTGCGTAACTGGTGGCAGGCGCAAAACTGTTGGAGACGCCCTATTTAAATGATGGTTTTGCGCGTTTTGTGGATTGCGGCAAAGTAGTTTGTAGTTTGTGCAAACTAGTGCATTAAGAAATTTTAATCTTACAGTGACACCACCCCCTCCAAAAAAAGAAATATATATATATATATATATATATATATATATATATATATATATATATATATATATATATATATATATATATATATATATATATATATATATATATATATATATATATATATATATATATATAAACTTTGGCAACCTTTATTCCCTAAGGTGGTATGTGGCTGAATTTCTACTTCACCGCAGTAAGAAAAAAACACACAAACAAAAATAAAACAGGTGTTTTTTATCGGCCTGTAGAAAAATGCACATACCAAATGGCTCACAAGAAGTGACTGTAGATAAGATGACTGCATTGGCATGTTGCTCCACAGGCGCAGGGTGTCGGGGTTCTCCGGTAGGGCGTCAGGGCGACATGGCATTTAGAACGTCGGACAGCACTTCTGAAAAACGAGATTGGGAGATCCCAGATGCAAAAAAGTGCAATGTTGCAAGGAGTTTTGTGATATCTGTTATTGCGTGGGTCCTCCTTGTGGCTGGCTCCAAATTCATTCGGAGTTCCCCCAACAGCTCCAAAATGGCAATGCTGGATAAACGATATGTTTTGATGATCGTTTCCTCGTTCATTCCAAAAATATTCACACGGAGTGAAAAAATGCGTTCTCTGCGCCTCCTTGCTTCATTTCCATGTCTCCTTCTTGCGACAATAACCGCTGCCATGTGTGCGCAATTACACATACAGACCATTTGCACCTTCTTTTGAAACGTGTTAAATATAGAGTCAGATACCGTTAGCAAAATTGCGTTCAAGTTTGATAAATCACTTTGCGAGTGCTAAATTAATATATTTACATGTTCTCCTCCCACAAGACGCACTTTAGCGTGTAAACGCCCCATATTGCATATTCATTGCAGAAAAAGTACTAAATGGATCACAGGCGCTATTTAGCACGTTTTAAAGATCAAATGCTTTTAGCACGCTGTTGATAGATCAGTTTGTACATTTTTTAGCGTGCGCAGTGAAATAGCTCACGTTTTAATACACGCAAACCTTTGATAAATCCGGCCCTTTAAGAGAAATAACACCTGCTAATAATTATACCTGAACTTCCTCAAAGAGTCATCAAAAAATGAAAACAGTAATAGCAACTAGATATTGGCAAAAAGGAAACCCTCACATTTTCTTTTTTAGTTGGCTGTGGCTAAGAATCAGAAATGTTGATGGCTTACAGCCTTTATTTGCCCATTTTTCCAGCAGTCTTCAGAACTCCTGGCGTTTTATAACAGAAAAAAAGGCTTTTGTTTTTTAGTGTACATGATATTCCTTTTTTTTTTAATTGGGACTTGTTTTGTAGCCTAATATTAATTGTAGTAACCGCTGCATTCTAGTGTGAATAAATTTTCAATTTTGTGCTCCAAGTGCACGCAGACTAAAAAACAGCCAATCAGAGAGAGAGAAGGCGGAACCTAAGGCAGAACAACCAATGAGAGTGGAGTTAAACAGCGCAGCACAGTTCCATGCGCTGCTACGAGAAAGCGACAGGAGAGACCAGGCAGAGGAGCTGCGAGAGGAAAAGACTACTGCTGTAAATTATAAACATGTTGCTCGCATCCAATTATTGGTAGGGACAATTAGGTCGGTTCAAAATTTTGGTAGGGACATGTCCCTATGGTCCCTATGCAAACCTACGCCCATGTGTATATTATAAGATCCAATTTAAAAAATGTGGTTTTGTTTATTATTGTATTTTGAACGTGAGCTACATGCATTTTCAGTCTTTTGAGCTCCAATTAGATTTACTGGAGAGAAGTGAAAGGTGAAAATTTTAATTCCATTATTGCATTTGTTAGTTTTATGACTCAATGCACCATGAAAATAACGTCAGACTAGATTGTGGTAAATGCTCTCTGTTTTTACAAACACTCCCATTCACGGCTAAAGGTAGGACTGAATATTTAGGACTAGAAATAATGATATAATATACTGAATGAGATATTCATGGAAAATAAGTACATATTAAAAGTTCAGACCAATTCTTTAAATGTGACAGCAATATTACACTTAGGTCAACCACTGTGAGATCAATATAGTCAATCAATCAACCACTTTTAACATCCAGCACTTTATTGGAATCGCAGAGGAAGGAAAAGCACAGCCATCTGACAACTTAGGACCTTCAGTATTACACACTGCCATATAACAAGTGGATAAAGAAAAATATGAATAAAGATACTTTTTACATTCTGTCTTGGAAGGAACACTGACTTTTGTATTTAAAGTAAAGTGCATTTACAATTAAGTGTTTACTGGTTTCAGTTTTACAATGAGCTTAGAATAAGTCTCACAGCCTGTTCATAGCTTCACAGACAGATCCTGTGATACCCCAAAAAACTTATGACCACAGATACTGAGTTTGAAGGTTTGTGTCCTTGTAAATGAGAACTATGCATTTTTTAGGAAAGGGAAAAGCACTTTCATTGATGGGAAGTATGGCAGCAGGTTAAATAAGGAGGTTTCTATGTGAACTTTGGAAAAGCAAAGCAAAAAAAAAATGTTTTTATATTATATAGGGAGGAATTTTATATAATATAAAAGCTAATAGTGGTACTGCACTTGTTAAAACATACCGTTTTTAGGGATAACCAAACCAAAGTCTCTATATTTTGTTTTTCAGGGTGAAAAAAAAATGCATTTCCATTATAGATGCATTTTAACAACCCTTTTAACAGGTAATTCACAAAGTAACAGCAGAAACACCCTCGGCCAATTTGAAATGGTCAATAAACCCATATGTTTAAAATAAAATAGTTTGAAACGAGAAGATCATGATTGAGAAAATAAATACCATTTAGGATGATATGTGATAACATTATGTACACTTTCTCAGTGATGTATGATTCCAACTTTTGGAATTTCTAACATTTTATATACAGTAACATGTTAAATGCATCTATAGGCAAAGAGCAAAGAATAATGTGCAAAACTGTCCAAGGGAACCTCCAATAATACAACACAATCTGCACATGAATATGTGATGCATCGGTGAAGGATTGTGCCAAGTATAAGGAAAGCGAAATGAGAGTTTTGTGATGCACTAGAAAATAATATTTCCATCAATGACATAAAGGGAAAAAATATGCAAAGAAAAAAAAACGCATTACAAACTGTTCCTATCAGGGTCCCTACAGATTCTACAATAACTTCCTTTAATCGTTTCCTTTATATCATTCTACCAAGTCATCAGTTGTGTCATTGAAAATTTCAAGATGAAGATTAACCTTGTGGGTCCATTACTGCTCCTCCAGCCAAGAAGGCTTATCTGATCCTGGAGGCTTTAACTTTACATTGAACTGTATAAGAGTTTGTTCCAACTGCTGCTGGTTTCCAGCAAAGTAAGCTGAGATTGCATTATGGAAGAGAAGCAGCTGCTTGTGCATCACCTTCACCTGGAGGGAAAAAAGAGGAACAGGAAAATTAGCTTACTGCAAGCAAAATCGTCTTTAATCTTTTTTTTATTTTGTTTCAAAACCAGCACAGAACTCAACGTATTTAAATGGGACTTTATGCGTTTGCTCAGTTCAAAACAGCCCCAAATACTAAGAAGGAAGAAACAAATGAAAGCCTGCTTATGGCTTTCCTTCAGCAATCCTGCTACTTTTGATAAAATCTTATCGCAGGCCTTCTACTTTCTTCTCTATAAAATGCGTATCTTTCCCAGCTTGTCCAAATAAGCAGCTTTAAGGACACATTTATTATTCCATACTTTCTATTTCATAATAGTGACAGCTCATTGTTAGAAGCTTCAAGCATTATTCCAGACAGAACAGCTGAATTCATACGCACACTAATGGAGACTAATGATTAGGTGCAGGGGGGATTTACTATTAGGCAATACTAGGGTGTTGCCTAGGGCCCCAAGTTCCTGTATGTATGATTATTACAACTATTCCTTATTTGTGCACATTAATTATGTTTTTGATTAAAATCCATTCGCTAAAATGCCATCAGAATCCTTAGAATATTAAGTGTGTCTCAGCCCCCCCTTCAGTGTCCACCACATTGGATCAGTCCATTTGCTGCACATGTTCAGAAAGGTCCAAACAGACAGCAGCAAACCATTTTAAAATAAACAAGGCAAAAAGTAGTGTTGCCAACTTTTGTCGCTATATTCAACGACTTTTCAGACCCCTCTAGCACTTTTATAAAAAAAAAAAAAAAAAAAAGCACCTAGTGCCAAATCTAGCGACTTTTTTCGTCTAGTGGAGACTTCGGCAACATCATATAAAAGAACCGAACTCTGCTCTCCAGAGCAAGTAGATTTGTAGCCCCGCCTCCTGCTCTCCTCTATTTTGTCTGTTGTCATGATTCATGCAGCTATTTAGTTTATCCAAATGAAAAATGAAGAACAGATAAGCAGATCATGGCTTGTCTTTTCAGTGAAAAGAATGACTGTTATTTACTTGGAAAAAATCTTTCATTCCTTTTGAGACAGCATGAAAAGTCAGCTGAGTACAAAACATGGAGAGGAAAACAAGAAGAAAAGGGACAAGAAAAGAGGGACAAAACATAGAAGAAATAACGTATGTCTATTCTATTAACATTTCTGTATCTGTATAATGGGTCTGTTTTATGTGTCGTTTTCTTAATTCAGAGGGCCCCCGGCCTATCTTTGCCTAGGGCCCCACATTTCCAAGATCCGCCCCTGATTAGTTGATATTGGTTACACTCGATTAGGTTTGGCTATATCAAAGTAAAATAGAAATTACTAAATATAAATATTTATCACACTTTTCAGATTAAAATTGATTAAAATGTTGAAAGCCTTACATCATTTCATCCACTTGACAATTCTGCACCTCTGTGTGGATTTATAGTGAAAGAGAAATAAATGTAACTATAGCCTTTGGGAATCTCTTCTAATTCCAGTTATAGGACAGGTTTGTGACTCGACAGATTTTCCCCTTCCAAAACTGACATTTATAGCTCTTTCTTAACCCTTTAACTATTCAATCTATTCTGTTATTTGCTTTTTCTTCTTAATCTGTTTAATTTTTTTGTGTCTTTGACGTCTTCATATTCGTCCTTTGGGTTTTTAACCCCGTAACATCTCATCTTGCATTAGGCTGGACTTCTAATATTCATAATTGTCACTTTTAACTCCACTCCAATTGACATTTAAAGGCTGCACCTTATTCTTCTCCTTGGTTTGAAGCTCGTTTGAGCTCAGACGCCACATCAAACATCGGTGACCTCAGACTTTGGGTGTGGTCCCAGTAGTGCCCCTGTGTATGGGTAACCACATCCAATAGTGATGTCATTGGGTCATCGCTGAAGCATGGCGAGCTTTTAATAATGTTGTGCTTATGTAAGAATCATCACAATCCTTTATGAAGACTTTTTCAATTGACAATAGAATAGTTTTAAGGTGGAACAGAGGCTTTTTTTTTTTTATAGAAATAGTAAAATTGAGAAGCGTCCAAGTTTGGAATTAGGGAACTGACATGGCCCAAATAATAATTAGACAATCTAATTAAAATTTATTTGACAAAAGCTCTAAAATAAATAACCTTAGTGTTTGGTAATTTTTCATCATCTGTTGAAATATATGAAAATTACAATTGAAAGACCAAAGATTAATTAATTTGTAAATCAAACCTTGTTTTCCTCCAAAAATTTAAGTTTGATGGAGACGTCACTACGGAGCCGCTCATATTTCTCTCTGTGGACCTGGTAGTCTTGCTGAGCCATCTCAATGCGAACCATAGCAGCTGCATCCCTTGGACCCAAGCTTAACTCCTCCAGATCAGAGCGATAGGCATCAAATTCAAGCCTGCAGAATGAAGTACAGTAGAAACAGTAAAATCTTTTTCCAAACCATTACTTTAAAAACATTACTTTTTTTTTTTACCTTGCATTTTCATACTGTCTAATTGTCAACAGGGTATCCTCCATGGTTTTATTGACCAGGGTGTTCACGCTGGACACAAAGAAGTTGATTGCACCCAGCAAAGCCTCACCATTCTTGCACAGCAGCTTCTGCGTCTCTGCATTATACCCAAATTCATCCTGCAGGAAAAAGAAATATTTTAATCACTTTTGTTAACACCGCATCCCGTGGGAACACTCTGTGAGTTGTGTACCTGAAGCTCAGGGGACTTCTGACTCAGGTCTGTGAACGTGTCCCCGAGAGCCTGCTGCGTTTGTACCATGCTTTGGAAATGAGTGATCAGAGCAGTCGCCAGTCTTAGAATGTTTTCATATTTGCTCTTTGTGTCTCTCAAAACATCAATCTGGGCTTCCAGTTCCAAATCAACGGTTCGTGAACCTCTGCCGAATTTCTCAGAAAACATCTGCTTTGTGCACTGAAAAAAAAAAGAAACATTAACAAAAATTCATGGGTCACTATCCAACTGTTTGCCATTCATGCCGTTGTAGGTACCAGACCTGCTAGGTTGGTCCAATCGGACAAACTGTATTGCACCCGTTTCTTAAGAATCAGATCTCTTCTGGAGTCTCAACATGTTATTACCCATAATTGCTATTATTTTACATTTTATCTGGGAACTAAAGTAGCCGAACGTAGAAAACAATCACTTTCAGTCTTGAAGGAAAGCACTGCCTTCTAAGACAGACCTAGCTCTGCCATTTAACAAGGGGACACAAAAAGTCTCAGTGCTTCTTCTTTTTATTAAGATCTGAGGGCGGAGGAGGGGGGGCAAAATGGGACATCTTAAAAAATGACTTTTGCTGAGATTTTAGACAAAGAAAACAGTTATTCTACTAGTAGAAAAGGAACAGTTGTTGTTGATATGAAGTTAAAACTAATGTAGCTTATTATGGCTAACTAACCAAGCTAAAACACGCTAACCTTTTAGCTACTCAGCAAGGCTAGCCACAGCGCTACCCAGCTATACCCCTTTATATCATTGTCTTGCAGTGACTTTGTTCAACATAAACACATTTTTTCAGCTTTGTTATTAATCAAGCAAAACTCCATCGGTCATTAAACTCCATAACACTACAGATGCTCTCGACTCGGCACACGGACGCAACATTGTTATCGTTGTCTGGGCAACCACAATGTTTTATGTCATGTGGCAACCTTCAACCAATCATATAGCGTAAAGTCTCTGGCATGAGCAGGGTCCGACCAGATCTGACCAACCGAGCAGTGCCTACGGTACCTGCACTGTAATTACTATATAAAAAGACTATCAAAAGATTTATAATAGATAAATTATTATCTAGATTATATAAAATATGGTTTCATATTGCGCGCCAGGTTCTGGACTCTCAGGTCCCCATAAATTTAACTTGATTCAGCAGTAACTTTATTGCCAAAACTCCCAGACATTCCTTATTTTATTGAAAAACAAAACTAAAGTTTAGTTACAACACACGGTTAGGAACCAGTTTTAATGGAAACAAGAGCCGTCCAAAGGTTCCTAGGTCCACACTGAATGTGTAATAATTTACACAGGGGGTTGGCAAATGTTATCTTGGATGTGTACGTAATAAAAATAGTTTATTGCATATTTGCAACAATAGACGTCATGGATTAACATGTCGGCACTTCAGAATTAGAAATCCTTCTTTTCTTATTGCTATCATGTGTACTCTAATGGTAGATTTCCATAAGCTTTAAGGTAGTATTACGAAAGTAAACAAACTAAATAATTAAAGTTGATAAACACTAACTGAACCACTAAAATGAACTTTTAAATTACCAACCAGTTGCCTCCGACAACTGGTTGGTAATTTAGCTAGAACAAAACCAATAAATTTAGCACTACATAACAAATTTAATTAAAACACACAAAAAAAAATACATTACCTTGTATGTATTAATGCCCCACTTCTTTACACTGTCAAGTTTCTCCACTGCTACACCACGAGAAACTTCTTCAGTGGAATTGGTGTTATGGTTTATTGACCCTTAAAACAAACAGACAATAAAAGGTAGATACTTGATAGAAGAATGTTTAGATATTTCGGGGGATGGTTCATTGTGTGGGTAATGATGAAAAATGACACTAATGGAGATGAGCTGGGTGATACCTGGGTTTGTGTGATGGGCAAGTCGACTGGCGGAAGCATTACTGTTATGCAAGTTAGCACCCCTGGATTTCATGCGAATGTCTGAAATGAGCATGGTGGCGATGAAGAGCAGGAGTGAGAAAATGGTCACACCAAATGAGGAAGCTGAACAAAATGCACAGGAGCTTAACAATGAAATCCAAAGTTGAAGGAAGATGCAGAAATTTAAAAAACAAAAAGTTTTAAAGTGATGCTGTTATAGTGGTTTTGAGGACATAACGATCCACAATGCAGGTATTTCATGCACAAATCAAACCAATTGAAAAAAAAAAAAGAATTTTAGGGTTAAGATGGAGATGTGGAGTAACAGTAAAACAGTCATCCAAAGCTCAATTTACATGAAGTCAACCTTTGAAAGGACAGAACCATAATATCATGTTAGTAACTTCTAAACTCTGAAAGCTGTCAAAACATTCCCTTTTTTTAATGCTGTGAGTCAAATAGAAACAAGCAAGGTTGCATACAATTTGTTCGGTCAAGCAGGGCATAAATCTCTTAAAGAAGGTTACAAATCCCAACTCATAAAGGGTAAATAAGAAAAATATGTCATCAGAACACACAGCCACCTAGTCCTGGTGCAGCGGTTCGTCTTCTGTCCAGATACTCAGGGTTGTAGCGCACTGCAGGCCCTATGGAATATGTTTGGAACATGAACCAGCAGCCCAGAGGTCACGAGTTCCTTAGAGGCACAATAATATACCAGGAGGAAACGTTCTAGCTCTGCTATAGCTTCCTTAACGTGCATCACATTAGTGAACTGCTTCAGTGGCTGGAAGCCATTCAACAACCCTGACAGATCTCTGGCTAAACTCAGAGCAGCCTGCAACTGACAGGAGAGGAAAAACAGACAGGGTGCTACTTAAAAGTCATGTCTGTCTTGGAACAGTAAATATTTTCATGTTTCTAACACAGAGATTTGAATTGATGCACCTTCAAATTTTAAGCTTTTAAAGAAACCAGCCTTGGCTGTAAAGAAAAGAGACAACAGGACAAGTGAAGAATGATAGTGCGACCTGCTAACGATACCTTTGATGGAGCTTGTAGGAATGATCCCCCCAGCAGGTCCACCGTAGCCTCCTGAGACGATACTGGTTTCATTCAGGTTGGGTCCTGACACCATCACCTGCTGCAGATCCTGAGGAATTCACATCCCCACAGGTTTTACAGGGTTGGAAAACAGATGTATGTATGCACATACATTAACGTATGTGAACACAGCTGAATTTCCCGGTTGGATTTAAATATATTTAGACTCAAAATAAAATAATCGGAAGATTCTCAGTCAACGATTTGCATGTTTTCTAAGCCAAACAAGTAGACTACTATATAAAGCTTCGAACTCAACACAAATTCTGACATTTTGAATTGAAAAAGCTTCCTGAATTGGAAGTGAAGCATCTTAATACTTGGAAACCAAGTCCAGTGGAATGTTTTTTTTTTCTTTTTTGGAAAAAATAATCGGATTATACTGTTTATATAGATGTCAGGAATCTAAACAGTCAATTGCAATAACAATGTGGCAATCGGACACTCATCATGGATAATATCGAGTTGTGACAAACACCAGATACGGCACAGGGACTTGCTCAACAGCCAATACCGCACCTTGACATCACAAACCATCAGGTGGCAGTAGTGCTCTTTGCCAAACTGTTTCCGGTAAAGCACATTCAAAAAATTACTCTTAATTAAAAACCCTTATTTATTGAACCGTATGTAATAATTTCATACTTTAAGTACTTTCAGCAGTTTGTATTCTTAAGCCACATTACAGATAAAAAAAGGTCTTGAAAATGTTTATTATTTAAGTATTTAAGACCTAAAATTGTTTCAGGGCTGTGTAAGCTTTGTTTTATCAACTTTTCTTTTCTATGATGATGCCAGGTAAAAGAAATAAAACCAATAATTCATCCCCATATTCTAAATCCACAATTACTTTTAATAGCTGCAGGTCTTTGGATGGTTAAGCTCACATTTGAGAACTAGAGAAAAAAAAATGACATCAAAGCTGCATCATGTATGAAAATGTGAATATCAGTCAGATGCATTAAAGGCTGTCTGACCTGCTCCAGGCTGTCATCCTCAGTCAGAGCTCCTGTATCTCCATTGCTATTTATGGGGATCTCCATGGTAGCAGCTTTGCTCATGGTATTATCCGCCATGATGAAATCCCTGCAAAACAAGAAATGGTGATTTATTTCCCTCTATTATAGCAAAACCTAACTGTGAATCTCTCCAGAACAGCAGCTTGATAACAACACAGATGCTAATAGGAGCTGCGGTGCTGATGTGGCCGCCTGCTGCTACCTGAGCTAGCTTCCAATCCTCACCACTCTGTTCACAGCCAAGTTAAACGGACAGAAAAATTAAAAACTAATTCTTATTCTAATCGTTTTTAACAACGTTATCCCCAGGAGAACCCATTACTAATCCCAAAGCGTTTACAAGCCATTTAATTCAGACAGAAAATCCCTGCATCCAGTCAGCTAAGGTTTTAAGAAATCCCTTCAAAATAAAAGTCTCTTTGTGTTTATTTTCACATACTTCTTGTGCAAAACATGAACATTTAAAAATGTAATATGGGGCAGAAAGGTGGTTTAGACTGGTGTGAGTGTCATCTGTTACAAAATAAGCTGATGGGGTTTGTAAAATTTATTAGATTCTTTTATTGTGAAATGTAATACCCTTAACATAGCATCACCTCCAATCCTCTCCACCCTTGCTCCATCTTCCACGTAGTACTGTTGACGTAGCCATGGCCGTGTAATGTTTTTCATCGGGTGCAGTTTTAAAAAATTCCACTAGATGTCACTATAAGATTGTAGGTAATAAACAAAAGTGGGGTTATTGATATGTAAACCACCTTTAATCAGATAAAATTCCTGGAGATGTTTTGATGGTGTCTCAAGAGATTAAATAAAAAGGAAATCTATCTTCAGGCATTTCACATCTTAAAATAACAGGATGTAAAATGCCTGAAGTGAGACAGTATAAAACTGACCACACTTCAAATTATTTGCCCCATTTGTTTTAATCAGGGATGCATTGGAGTTGCACATGGTTACCAAATGTGCAGTTTTTTTCTGCAATCATCACACTCGGAATAAAGAACCCTCCCTCCTGCAGATCAGACTCAAAAACACACTTGTTTTGGTTGATCTTCTTAGAAAGATCCTTTTCAGCAAAGTCTTCCTTCTTAGAAATGTCTTAAATTGCTTGTCGAGGCTACATGTTGCAGAAAAAACTAACAGAAATTATAAGACATTATAAGACATAATTATAAACCATAAAAAATGAGAGAAGGTGTGACTTATTGTTTCAGCCTTAATCAACAAATAAGCAGATCAAAGATTTGTAGAAATACGTGACTCTGTTATGGTACAACCTTTAATTCCTTAAGCATTGGAATGAGGGTTGTTTCGTCTTTGCTCTTGGCCAGATTGCAGTATCTCATCAAATTAGGCTGTGTAAATAGAGTTATGAAAAGCCTGAGGATAGACCTCAGGGCACCTTAACATTGCCAATTGGTTCTCACTTCAAATCACTGGCTCTGTTCTTTTTGAGCAGTTTGTTTCAGTCCTACCAATGATCTTCCTAACAGCTCTGTCCTTTTACTTAGTGTAAGATTGTCGGACTGATCAGGGAGAACAATTACTGCTGGCACATAGAATCTATATGTCTATATCTAATATCAGGACTACTTAAAATATAGACCAAACATAAAACCTAATCTAAAAAATCCTCAGCTTTAGTTGATATTTGATTATACCCAGAAAAGAGCACCTTTCACTACTGTGGAAATGTGATAACCTGATGATTTATGCAGAGTAGCTGCCTCTGGTCAAGTGTTTTGGGTTCAGTGTATCCAATGTTTTATAGCTAGTACTGCCTTAATGAACCACACTAGGTCTTTTAAATGGTATATTGCATTCGGTAAAATTATAGGTTTTTTATTTGCCCTCATTTTATATTTGAACATAACTGTGACATGGTTGAAAACAAAGACATAGCATTATGAATTTCTTATATATATATATATATATATATATATATATATATATATATATATATATATATATATATATATATATATATATATATATATATATATATATATATATATATATAAAGTTTAATTGTACCACATTAAAGTTGTTTTTTCAGACACTGTACTGCTTGGCTCCTATTATTGAACTCATTCCTGTAATGTTTGGCTATATAATTGCAACAAAACATATTCAATTTTGCTCATGTTAATGATAGCATTTGGTGTGTCATAGAGTACAGCATCAGTTGGTGAGCATCCTCACCAACTGTATCACAGTTTGGTTTGAGAACTGCTCTGCCTCGGACCGGAAGGCGTTGCAGAGGATGGTAAAAGCTGCCCAGCGCATCTCTGGGGCACCGCGGTGTCTGAAAAGAGCCGGGAAAATCACCAAAGACTTCACACACCCTGCACACACTTTTCTCACTCCTGCCCTCTAGGAGACGTTACAGAAGCCTATGGACGAGAACTATATATATATATATATATATATATATATATATATATATATATATATATATATATATATATATATATATATATATATATATATATATATATATATATATATATATATATATATATATATATATATACATATACCATATATATATATATACCATATATATATACCATATATATATGGTATATATCCTAACTGCCATTTACCATGACAATAAAGTTGAACTTTATTCTATTCTAAAAATTTACCAACAGGTTTTCAAGTTTTTTTTGCTAGCTGAAGCGCAAAAAGTTTTCAAGTAAATTGATTATTTTCCTAGCAAGTGAAGCAGAGCTTTCCCACGCTAAACAAAATATTCCTCTCCTAAAGCTGGTATTTGGGATGATGCAAACACAGTGATACTTAGAATAATTCTCACATAGGTTCTTGTCACTTTTAGAAAAGGTCATCTGTAGTGCTCTGTGATGTTCAACACAGACTAAGTCTGGAAGATGGCATTATATTATTTGATGTTTTGACTTCCAGACACTTTAAAAAGAGCTGACACTTTAAAAAGAGTGAACAGTGGCACGTCTTGTGCAAAACTAAATATCATTCAATTTAAGGTTGTCCATCGCTTGCACTGGAGTAGAGCAAGGATCTCTTCAATATTCCCAAATTTTGACAGCAATTGTATTAGATTTCATATTATTGTTGCAGATTTGACTCATATGTTTGGGTCTTGCCATTTTTGGGGTACCAAACAAGGAATACAGCAAATTTAGCTAAGAACCAAGAGAACATTATAGCATTTGTTTCTCTGTTTGCACAAAGGCGAATTCTACTTCACTGGATGTCAAGTGCGCCACATACTGTCGCTCAGTGGTTGAAAGATGTACAGTAATGCTATTTTTGCACTTGGAAAAAATAAAATTTGCTATAAGGCGCTCAGACCACTTTCAATCTGTTTAGGGACCCTTTTTTTATCATACTTTAGTGGCCTCCAAGAACTCCAATCAACACTGCATTAAATTGAGAGATTCTATGGTTTTAATGAAAAAAGTTGAGCATACACAAAGGCATACTTTGTTGGCCACGATGACCTTGGAATGCAGATTGAGCTATTCACTTACTGTTTTAATTTGTTTATTCTGATGCCTACCTACATTTAACAAACAAAAACTGAAGTTTACTGTTGGTGCAGTTTTTTTTTTTTTTTTTTTTTTGATTCATTACAATCACAGTTAATGTAATTTTTCCTGGGTCCAGTCGGGGTGGGGGAGGTATGGTTTTGAGTTTGTATAAAGTTTCTAAATCGAAAAGTCTTGTAACCACAATGACAATTTATTGTTTCTACCTCTGACTTTTCAATAAAAAGATTTGGGAGACAAAAAGATGTTTTGACTTCCGTCCTCCTTTCTAAGCCTTTTTGTTTAATTTTTACTATACCGCTCTGATGGCCAAGGTGTGGTGTTGTTGAGTCCTACATGCCCTTGTTAAAAATCGCCAAATGTTATGGTTCAATATTTTTCTGAAACAAGTGAACAAATCAAAATGAATCTTTTTGCTAAGTTATTGTAGCTCTCATTGCAGGATGTCAGCAACATGTTTTGTTCCATCAAGAAAAGCTTCATAAGGAGCAGATTCCTTTATGCAGGTGCCATTTTGTTTTAGTCTATAAGTGGTAATCAGGGCTTCTACTTCTCAGCTGGGAAATCAATTTCCTGGTTTGTGGTGTGTTTCAGGATTCCAGACCTCTGCCTTCTTACTCTCAGTTTGTCAAATAATCCAAATTAATCCTGTCTCAATGAATGTTCTCTAGCTGCTCCTCCTGCTGTTAGGACTCTTTCTATCATTTACTTATTCATCGTTACTCACCTGGCTGTCCAACCTTCAATGCTCTTCTCCATTATATCCACTCCTGGCAACAAGAGCACAAAGAAGCCATTACCAACAACAAGCACCAACAGCATCAGCCAATGTCAGCTATCCCAACATCTCTTCTTGAATTTCCACCTACTTTGTATAATAAAATGTAATAATAAAAACTTACCCCAATATCCCTAATGCCATCCTAGACCTTTCATGTAGACCTGGAAGAATCATTTTTGTATAAAACATATGCAACTCCTCTTTGGTGTCTGTAATTCTTACCTGCATGTCTCAAACCTTACCAATATGACACTAACATGATGAGTTAAAACTTCTGTTAGATTTTGGGACAGATTCATTTTCAGATTATTGTTCTGATTGGGATGCACTGTTGTGCAGTAGGTAGCAGTGTTGCCTTGCAGAAAATGGTTTGCTATTTAAATTCACACCAATTGGTTTTTCTACCTGAGAATTGGATTGTTTGGTCAGCACTGCATAATAGGGACGCCACCAAGGATTTTTGACCAAATGAGAAACATTGGGCTGGCAGAAAAAAAAAAAGGGCAGTTACTTGGTAGGCGAAGCCCTGAGGGCACAAAGAAATTCATTTGGGTTCATTTATTTGCTGCAAAACTCATACTCTATTATCCCAAACCCATCTATTTCTTTAACAGGCTACTTGAACATAAAATCCTCCAAAGATTATCTGAAAATAGAAAACTTTAATAAACTTCAAGTAAGTATAGTAGGGCTGCCACTAGCCATTATTTTGCAAATCGATTAATCTGTTGATTATTTTTTTGCTCATCGATTAATAATCAGATAGCCAAAGGTTCCTTTAAGATTTTTTTATTAAAAATATAACCAAGTGAAACTAAAACTTTTCCACTTGTGGAGTTCTGGGTTGAGCATATTGATGGATGAAAAAGTTAGTTATTTTTTATCTTAAATGCAAAAGATTTATATATTCTTTTTACAATTTTGATATAATTACTGCTTTAAGTGGGTCACTCTCTGTCAGCTAAAGGCATATTTTACAATGCCATACACTCCAATGATTAATCGATCATTAAATTAGTTGCTGATTATTTCAAAAAGTGGTTAATTCCCGATTAATCCGATTTATTGTTTCAGCCCTAAA